GTGTGTGTGTGTGTGTGTGTGTGTGTGTGTGTGTTGCAGAGCTGAATAGGCTCATCCATTCTTCAGTCTTTTCTTCCTCAGAAGGCCGAACTGTTGGAACTCTTCATCCTCACAAAGACCAAACGCACTAAAACTTTTTCTTCTTCTTCTCATGTAAATCAGGCCGGGCTCTGGCTGAGCTCGTCATCATGTGGAGCGGAAAACACACACAAACCTACTGTGTCTCTCTATTCTTGTGGGGACTTTCCATTGACTTCCTTCCAGTTTTTGGYAATTTTATATCCTAACCCTGATCATTTACCCTTAAGTTCACCTGACAGGTACCTGAGCCTAAAACTGACCTCAACTCAATTCTTTGTTTCTCCTTCTCTCTATTTTCTCTTTACTTCAAAAAAAAAAAAAAAATCACAGATGAAGAAATTAAGAAACTAAGTTTTTTTTTCTACTGAAGTGATAAAAAAACTAAACTAAATTCTCACCTTGGTCCTAAACTTAACCCCCCACCCCCACCCAAAATTAGCCTCCGAAGTCGTGGGGACCAGGCTTTGGTCCCCACAAGGCTGCATTTTCCTGAAAAATCATCCCCACCAAGTAACAAAAACAAAGGCGTGCGTGTGTACACCTTCAGTTACTTCAACTTTTCCTCAAACATCTCAAACTGCTGCACAAAAACACTCATTTTTAAAGAAAACTAAMCAGTTCTGAATGAAACAAACTGGAGCAGGATTTAAGCCACAAGTTTGGACCAGAACATTCCCTGATGACTCTCAGCTACTACCACTCAGGTTTTAGCTCTGCAGCTGCAAAACTAGCTGAATCAGAAACATTTTAGCTGCGGCGGCCATCTTGAATCAGTTCAATAAGATCAAGTCTCATCAGTCATGGGATATTTTGCTAACAGAACAATCCCAGTGTATGTGCTCAGAGTAGGTTTTGGGGATTACTCTCAGTTGCTACCACACCAATAATCAGCTCAGGATCTGGAAATTCCACCGATTTGTCATCATTTTTGTGTTTTTTACATTTACGTGGCTGAGGCGGCCATCTTAACCCGCATCTGCCCCAAAATTCAAACAACCCCAGAAACATCATCAGWGAGGACTTCCTGAAAGTTTCATTCACATCCCATCAGCGCTTCGTCAGATATTTTGCTAACAGACGCGGCTGCGCGCGGCGGGCGATCAGAAGCGCGTCCCCGGAGGAGCTGGAGCTCATTAGAGGCGCATGTTTGATCCGACAGTAAATATTAGAGCTGAAGGGGCCCCTGAGGGCCCCACAGAGGCGTGAAGTGTTTGTTGACGCTCAGACTGCAGAGCAAACAGGAAAAAGTCCACAATCAGAGCCGAGATGCTTCATTCTGCCGCAGGAAGCTGAGCTGAAGAAAAGTTCAGAAGAACCACAGAACCGAGCTGGAACCGGACCTCCAGGATCTGCCTTCAGGACCAACATTTTTTGGATTCCTGCGTCAGAAAAGTTCAAAGTGCAAAAAGAGGAGAAGCTGCGCAAAAAGCAGCGCGACGTGCGGCAGACACGCGGAGGAGGGAGGCTCGGTTCGGTTCGGAACTTTCCTCCGAGAAGAGAGAGAAAAATGAAAAACCCAGAAAGAGGTTCTCCTACCTGCAGGACTCTGTCCGAAGAGGAACAACTTTCTCTGGACTCTCTGGTTCCGGGACCTAGACCCGGTCCGGCGCTCCGGACCTGACGAACCGAGCGTGGAAAAGTTTGGGGAACTCTCCGCAGGACATTCCTCCTCGGYCCGGCCCGAATCAGAGCCGAACCGGGAGCTCCTTCCTGCGCTCCATGCGCGACTCCGTGCTGGTCCCGTCCGAGCGGACCCGACGCGTGAGGAGGTTCGGCTCAGGGTTCGGAGCTGGACGCGGTTTGGTGCGGAGACATGCGGCGGAGCGGAGTTCTGGTCTGGTTTCAGTCCTCCCCCCGGCTCCCCTCCTCCTCCCCCCGCTCCCCGGTGACCCGGACCATTTGCTGCACCAGATGGGCCGGGCTAAACTCGGTCCAGAACTCAGCAGAACTTTTGCTCCAGACGAACAACAATCATCACATTCTGTTCGGAGAGTTTGCTTTTTCATTTGCTGCTCCTCCTGTTGGAGCTGCGGTTCGGAGGGGGAGGACGGGTTAATTACAGAACCCAGAATCAGAACCAMTCATCTCCGAGGCCTCTACTTGAAAAACTCAAACACTTTTTGTTTGTTTAGGAAGCAGAAAACAAACAATTTTCATCCTTTATTTATTTAAAGTCAGACTTTTTCATCTCGCTTGGAGACTTTTCACCTCAGAGACCTCATCARCTTCTGACTTTATTCTTTAGGAAACTTTCTTTTAAATAAATAAATATGGAAATAAAATGAAGTAAAAACATAAAACATCAACAGATTTATTATTTTAAAACACACCAAATGAGCTCAACATAAAACTGAGTCACTTCTGATTATTTAACTTTTAAAATATAATTATAATAAAATATTTACTGTTTGCTACGGAGCTGCGAGGGGACACGGGAGAATAAATAAATTAAAACGAATCCTGACTTTGGTTTTCAGGATCCCGACTTTGGTTCTCAGG